TCCCGACAAAAAAACACTTCATGAATTGGTCTAGTTCATCCTTTGTTTTAACCAAAACATCACAACTTCCAATTCCAAAATGTGCTATAGTAAGAAAACATTATTACTCTACATTTCATGAGGTGTTATAAACCTACTTAGTATAAGTTTCAAGATACGATCTTTAGTAACTATAGCATGACTCTAAAATTTGATTAGAACTGAAGTATGACCCATCTCTCGATCGAACCATTTCAACAATATCTGATTCCTCTTCTTACTCAAACAATTGCACTAAGATGTTGTTTGAGGATCAATTGAGATAAAGTTCCACAATCATAAAGATGATCACAAAAACACGATACTAAAGTACTCCCATTTCCTTTCAAGATTGGAGAAACCTTTATCTTTCTGCCTAACATGTTCTTCTTATTTGTTATGCTACTCTTTGAAACTTTTCAAAGCAGTCGAATTATGCTTAATCTTATAAATACAACCATATTTACTGGATCTTCAGTAAATCGTGATGAATAGAATTTTCATCCTTTGTGGCAGATATGAATCGTCCATATCAACATGTAATATATCCATTAGTCCTTCACTTTAACTCACATAAACATGTGATCAATGAATTAATCATAATCCTCCAAAGATCAAGATTCTCATACATCACACAATTCTAATTGTATGACTCAAAGTTTCTATCAAACTGGAACTTGGGTGATGAGAATTCTTTATCACTTAGTTAATTATGACATTTACCACAGGTGAAATAATAAGAATCAAATCCACAATTAATATTGCTAATAACATAAATGTAACCAACACTTTCATAGATGCCATTGCAAGCAAATATAAAGTAAACCAACTATATAAACCAAAATTTCACTTTTATTGATAATAAACGAAAAATTGGAACATGTCCTTACAATGCATAAATGAAAACAATGTTTCTAGACACTTCCTAACCAATCTATTAAATTATCATAACTCCTAAGCAGTAGCCTTCCAAAATCTGATCATCGAACCATGCGACCGAAATCCATGTCTCACGATCAAATTTAGATCACTCTTCTTAAGCTTCCTTCTTTCTCTTAGATCCTACAAAACATCAAAATGTGATCATCACATCATGTATTACGTATCTATGAATAGGAACTTATTAAAATAATGGAGTTAGATAATGGATGTACCTGAAGTAGAGTCACACAACTTGACTTTCCAATATCTAAGATCTTTCAGGTAGTCTGGGTAACTTTGCAACCAATGTCCCTTCAATTGGAAATAGAAACATATGGACCTTTTAGGGTTAGCACATGGAACTATCTCAAAACTAGCCTTTCTCTTTACCATATGATCAAACAGTTTGACCTTGGCCGATCCCTTTCCATTGGGAAGATAAATATTTTTTCTACCACCATTGTCAATGTCCATGGAAGTTTTGGAATTTGATCCTTCAAACACTTTTGCTTCACTTGTGCTCTTAAGCAACAATCAATATATGTGTCAGATCAATTAGGGTCACGTCGTGGTCGCTCATATAAAAGTTCTTAATGAACTGACTATATGACTCAGGAAGCGAAAGGAGAACCAAATCAATGGCTTGATCCCTTGGGAAAATGACACCCAATCTATCCAATTTGTCAATGTACGATTTCATTTCCAGAACATACGTACACACAAAATTTCAATCTCAATGCTTACATGCCAAAAGGGCTTGAGTAGTTTCGTATCTTTCAACTCGAGGAGAACGTGATGTGGGGAGAGTCACTGGAGGAGGAAGAGGAAGAGTTGGAGAAGCATGATATCCATTTTCACCATTGGTCGAAGAAGGGAACATACTTTCACCTTGATCAGAATGTGGAAGATCATCTTCAGAAGGTAGAGGAAAACCATTTCCAAAAGAACAAGGAATATCATTGTTGTCTTGACTTGACATCTATAAAGGGATAAAAGAAAATTCAAGTTAGTTGAATTTAATCCTTAATTATTAACCCATATATTTAAATTAAGGCTAGGATCCATATCTTCGATTCGAACTTGGAATTTTAGGTAGGTAAGGCTTTTACCAGTTTCAATCTTATGAAACTCCTAGGTCTTATGAGATTCATTGAATCCAATCAATGACATGTTTAATCTCGATTATGCTCTCACTTTTGTGACTGGGATGCCGAGGATCACACACGAGATGTAAATAACCATGCAAATTAGCTTGGTACTCTCGATGTCATTTATCATTTCGTTTTAATGTGTTGGTTAACCACACGCGCTCCATTAACCAATGATAATTTTCGAGACACCCATTACAACCCTTTATTACCCCCCCCCCCATTAGTGTGTCGGTTAACCACACACGCTCCACTAACGACTCATAAAGTGTAATGTGCAATTTCATGGATTAACATACAAATTCATATTTTCCTAAAGTAACTAAAAGTGGGATTTTAGAAAATAGTTTAGTTACTTTATATCATTATACTTTAATGAGATTATGTCCTATCAAACTCGTTATGCTAACGACCCTCCACCATACAAGAGAGCGGTGGGTAAAAATGGATACCCACTGGCGGTCATTTTATAGGTCGCTTCCTTAAACTCCCATTATAGTATGACTTCGTGATGAAGCGTACTAGTGGTTCGACTGACTTTTCTTATACATAATATATATATATATATATATATATATATATATATATATATATATATATATATATATATATATATATATATATATATATATAGAAGTAGGTTCATGCGAAAACATAAATATCTTGCGAAAACGCGAAAACAGATTTTATCTTATAAAAATCAAACACATGTACTATAAAAAAAATAAATTTATTAGCAATAAATTAAAGATAGTAAGTTACATTGGATGGTGTTATGATAATATAGATTTAAAGACGGTTTTAATAATTTTTTTTTCACGTGCTTAATCATTTTTAAATTCATATTTTCATAATAAAAATGTTAAAAATCATACTTTGCTAATATGAAACAATTTCTCATCTATCATCGATTATCATCATGTATTTCAAAGTTTGGATGATTATTTTCCAAAATATAATGTTGAGGTGACACAATATCATATGTTTTTCTTGTTTTCGCGTTTTCGCAAATTATTTGCATTTTCGCATGAACTATATATATATATATATATATATATATATATATATATATATATATATATATATATATTAAACTTTTAATTATATACATAGTATAAGGTGTATTTTAAAACATTTTTAAAATTCCAAGGGTTTAATCTTTTAATAAATTAATCTTTTAATTTAATTAAATTTAAACCATTTTATGGATTTATTGATTATCTTTTAATTAATCACTTAATTAAATTAATAATAAGATCCAAAAGGATGTATTTTAAACTTTTCAAAATACTAGGGTTTATATTTTAAATTTCGAAAATTAAGAAATTAATTTTCATTTAAAAATACTATAACCAATCATGAATTCAAGATAAGGATATCCAATTACTTAGATAATTATTCAGTTTTACTTATTTAAACCATTATTTAAGGTAATTATCCTAATCAATTCATGAGATAAGCAAAAAACCATTTTTTTATGTATCTGACAGTCCGCCATGTCATGGTAAGCAATTACCACATCGTGGTTGAATGAATTCGTAGGTCACCATGTCGTGGTGGAAGTCACCACGTTATGGTGGTGAAACAGAAAGTCGATTATGTTTTTCTTCTCCTTGTTCAAGTTTAACAATTGCAACAATTCAATAGAAAACAAACCATACGATCTGATACCATTGATGGGTATTATGCAAAACATATAAAATCATATGTGTGCATGCAACCCTAGTTCTTGATTTATGTTTTCTCTAATTGAACATACAACTTTGAACAACAAATAAGAAACCTTAGGATACCTAGCATATTTTCAAAATTATACTAATTATGGTTAGGAGAAACATACCTTGATTGTTATTGTAGAGAATAACAAAGAAACCTTCTTGTTGATCTCTTGGAAGTAAGCGCCACAAGTGTGGCGCGTCTAATGGTTCACACCTAAACCCTAGCAACCAAGGAGCTTGAAGAGAGAGAGGAGAGAGGTAAGAAATTTTGGAATTCCTCTTAGGAATGAAGGCATGGATGAAATTCAACACCAAAGGGGGTTTATATAGGTGTCAGGAGGGTGTTGGATAAGACAGGTATCTCCAAGATAATCCTAATCCCTTTTTTTTCCATCTAAGGCATCCAAGGCACCCTTAAAGTCCAAGGAAACCCTAGAAGGCTTCTAGATTTCGTCCCGTCCTTATGGGAGGTTCTAGTATTCCTCAATTCTCAACTATTGAACATTGTCACCTTTAGTCTTCCTATTTTTAATCAATCCAATTAATCCCAAAATTAATTCTAATTAATTTCTGATTAATTATTAATTAAATAATACTACTTCCAATTAATATATTATTCTCATAATATATTAACAATTCATTTATTTTGATATCTAATTAATTTATCAACCATATAATAAATTAATAAATTAATCTCTCTTTCTCTCTAAAAGTTATCATATTTAATTGTCATGTTTGAGGGCAACCCAAAATGAATGTGCTACTATCAATTCAAGTTTATACAAAGTTAGGAATGCTCGAGTTTTTGTTTCTTCTATTCTGAATATGTCAATTTTATTTGATAATTTTGGTACTCAAACCTTCTTTTGATACAAAGTTAGGTTTAAGAAAAACTTAAACTGGGTTGGTTGGCGTCAAAACCTCTAACTTGTTATTTCCTCATGATGTATTGTTTTTTTGGGTTATTGCCAGTATAGCCCAACCAACTTACATGTTTTGCTTTAAAAGGTCCCTCATGTTCTTTTTTTTTTCTGCATTCTAAGGGCATAAAATTGATATTAACCTATTTATTTAGTCATTTTAGCCGGTTTTTGTTCCAAACTAACAGAAAAAGTATTTTTCTTGGCTGCCACATAGGATTAGGGCACCATTTCATTAAATGACATGGCTGTCACATAGGATTAGGGCCTGTTAAATGGGGAGCAAATTGGTACTCCCATTCCTTTGTCCACATCTCGTGCTCCAGATTTCACTATCTCCCTCCACCCAATTTGTGACTGTGGTGACTGCTAGTGGGTTAATCGTCGATGTTACTGGCCCATGGAGAGAACCAGACTCAACAGTGGTAGCGGAAGTGGGGCGGTTTTCAGTGGAGGTTCGTGAATTTCAGGGAATGTCGAGGGGTATCGGCTATGAGAAGATGAGGAAACGCCATAAGCAGCAACAACAACAAGAATATCAATAAGAGCAGGTTTGTTGAGTTCCTATATTGTGACATCATTCAGTCAGAAATCAATTTGGTTTTATTTCTTCAACTCATCATACTTTGGTGATCGATGTTGGTTGGTCGATTGGTTCTTATCATGAATTCTTGATTTATTTGATTGATAAAGAACAATATGAATTTTTGGTTGAATAATATCGATTTGATCTTAAAAGGTTTCGGATGTGAAAATTTTGATGTTTGTTGAAGAACTGAAAAGGATTAATTCCGAATTGGATATTACTGTTTCAATATGTTTGTGTGATTACAAATGGGTCGGTGAGATCGAAATGATTTAAAAGTCATTTTTAGCATTGCTGATAGTTAATTTAAATGAAAGCCAAACATTATTGGTCAAAAATATGTTCCTTTGATTATGATAACGAAGTGGATTGTGAAATTCATATGGGTCATGAATCAAATATCCTAAATGACAAATATCCTAAATGATGAGGCAATAAAGTACCAGGCGTTTCTTTGTGGTTCCAATTTATTCAAGAAATGAATTGATGATTTTCGGAACTTGCTGAAGATCAATGGATTGAATGAAATAAAGTCAAAGATGGATCTCAAAGTTGACGAATTGGCGTGTGTGTGGTTGTCGGACCTTCGGGGTCGGTTGTTGACCACTGGAGATTGGTCGAAATTTGCTCCATGGAGCCCAATGAATCCACTTATTTCAATCTTCGTAACCACCGCCGACTATTTCCATTTTTATTGGAGATTTGAGTTTCTTTCAAGGCAGATCCGTGAAGATCCATGAAGGCTTTTTAGAAATGATTTTTTTTTGTTTGTTGAAAGAGAACTGTAGATAGAAAGAGATGAAGCTTTTGAAGAATCAGATCTTTAAAGAGCTTGGAAGAGATGAAGCTGACATTGTATATTAAACCTGTTGATTAGCACCCTTTCACTTTTCTCAAAGGGATCTTTTAAACCTTAAAAACATGAATTCGTACCCTTAGAATGCAGAAAAAAAAAAATCACAGAGGACATTTTAAACTAAAACACGTAAGTTGGTTGGACTATAATGACAATAACATTTTTTTTGCTAGCTCCTTGCTAGTTTGTTTTGGTTTTAATAAAATCCTGCAGTTCCAAAAAAAAAACTCTCTTCTTCCCATCCATTTTCTCTTTCCCTCTCTATCTTGCTTCTTGTATACTATCTAAACAACATTTCCTTGTATTAGTTACTTGATTTTTTTTTTGATATTTTTAGTGAGGTGAAATATGTGTTGTGTGAGGTGCCATACTTCACGCATGATGCATTCCTTATAGCCTTACAATATGACTTTTATCTAATTCCGGGGAACGAAAAAAAATACATTTTCTTACAGCTTGTAAACATGTTGTGTCATGTTCGATTGAAATATTAAGTGTGTTGAAAAAGTTTGATTATAATTTTACTCATTTATTTTTCATGTCATGTCAACACATTTACTTAAAGCGGTTGGAAACTTTTACATAAACTCGTTTCTTTTGTTTCGAGTTTGTGTCGATTTAGCTGGTAATGTCAATTTTTACCATTTGTACCTTCTACCATTAAAAAAAAATCAATTATATGAAAGAAAAAAAATTTCATTCTAACGAAACAATAATATTCATTCATAGTTGGTATTTGATTAAGTTTTCCTAGAATCTTCGTCTTAAGGAGGGCAACACATACTTCGAGGCTAGATATCTTTTGGTGTCATATATTCATATATAATAATTTATTCCATTTCAAAATTCATATATATCAAATATTTTTCGTTAAGATTATATCTGCTAACATAAAAACTTAGAAGTGCAAACATTGCTTCACACCAACAAAACCGAAAAATCAAATCAATACCGAAATAAGAAATCAACTATATTCGGTTTGTCTAATGGCTGCCCTTTATATTTCTAGAAGACCAATTTTTGGGTTTATTTGATTGGAAGTTTTGAAGCAAATACCAACTATGGGCGTTTAATTATTTTCAAGACAAAATTATAAAAATGGTCCCTATGGTATATAGAAAATTGTCATTTTGATAAACAAAATTTTTTTAACTTGTACCATTAGTCCAAAATTTTCATTTTGATGCAAGTTTGATCCGTTTTATAACCGGAAGTGTGTGAAATGACCTTTTTGCCCTCTTTATTTGGTTTTCCCTTTTCTTTTTATTTACTTTACTATTTATATAATTAAAATAAAACAAAAAACAAAATATAAACCTACCCTAATACCACTACCCCACCAACATCCATCTTATATGAGTCTCAATATATCTCTACTGATTCATCGGAAACCGTCGTTATCGTCGAAAATTGTCGCCATTATCGCCTCATCATTGTCACTATACGGAAACCATTGCCACTCTCGCCATCGCTGTAAACCACCACTAGGCGACGTTCAGACGTCATTAAGAACCACCACTAATTTGACGAAGCCGCCCTTCTCGCCGGACCTCTCCCTTCTTGTTGGAACTCCGCCCTTCTCATCACAAACCTAAAAACCCAGTTCGAAAACGTTGTCTCTCTCTTTTTCTCGTTGTTGATGAAGATGGAGGAGCTAGGGTTACCAACAACAACATTTAGACCACCACCATTTGTGAATATTCAAACGATGCCAGAGAACCCTTGTTCCATATTTGAAAACCCTAGTAGCGGCGACAATGTTTCACAGGAGAAAGAAGTGGCTGACGGTTGGGAAAGGTATCGTCGTCGTCAGAGTCATTGGAGTCGCAGTCACCGCCTCTCTCACCTGAAAAGGTTTGTTGTCGCCTGTATCTGTTCATCAGAATTCAGAGCTAGGGTGTTTATTCGTCGGAGTTCAGATTTGCAAACATTAAGAAATAGAGACCACAAATAGATCTGGAAATGGTAAGTTCTCTTTCGTCGGCAACCAATTTAAAAAATCTGAATCGACAGCCGGCGAGCTGACATGTCTAATGGTGGAATATGGCGTAAATGGTGGTCATTTCGGGCGATGACAATGGTTTCAGACGATCAATGGCGGTTCCTAACGATGGTGGCGGTGATGTTCTAATTTTTCCAATCGGCTATTGTGGTGCGGTTGGGAAGATATAGAAGATGACGTGTTAAACGAGGTTGTGGGTGTGGTAGGATACTAAGGGTGAGTGATATATTTATTTTTGGTTTTATTAAAACTACAGAAATAAAAGAGATAAAGATAAAAGAAAAAAATGTCAATTCAAGAATTTTCGAAAAACATTTGGACAAAACGACAACAAAATGAAAATTTTGGACGAATAATATAAATCCATAACTTTTTGGACTAGTTTTTATAATTTTGTCAATTTCAAACTTGAAAGGCATTGTTTGACGTTTATTTATTGTTTGACGTTTATTTATTCCACTTCTTTAACAACAACCCAAACGGCCTACGAAAACCAAATTGGGCCAGGGGAAAAAAAATTATTTAACAAATTTCTAAAAAAAAAAGTGATATTAATATCTTTACGTGTAGAGAAATCCGATTAGCAGGCTAAGAATCAAGGGGGCTTCATCAAGATCACTACATTCTAGGGCGAAAACAGCAGAGAAATCGAGAGAGGAAGATGGCAGGGCTACAGAGATCAGCAGTCTCATTCAGAAGGCAAGGATCATCAGGTCTGATCTGGGACGACAGATTCTTATCAGGCGAACTGAACCGGTTTCCGGAAGGCAAACCGCCTGCATCTTCCGACGCCGATCAGGTTCCGACGACTGGAAATGATCAGTCAAAGTTTTCGAAAACCACAATTCAATCCATCAACACCGTTCGCCGGAATCGATCTAATAACGGCGGTGAACGAGCGTCCACGGCGACGGAGCCGTCTTCACCGAGGATTCCGGTGTGTGGATTTTGCAGCGCTTTTGGTAAGTCTAACAAAACCCATACACGAACCGTCTCCCGTAAGCGTAGCTTTGCTTGATTGCTTATGCGATCGATGTCTTCCGTCGCCGTCGCATGAGGCCGACGATCTTAGAAGTAATCTTTAGAAAACTGTAAAAAATCGGTTGTTTCCGTGTGAACATCACGAATTGCTTTGATCGTTGTGTTACGTGAATTCAATTGATAATAACGAGGCGTAAGTTTGTAAGATTTTGTTTACGATTTCATCTTCTTTAATCTTTACTTCCATTAATTAATTTATGGTTATTAGACTTCATTAGATCTTTAACATCACTTGGTTTCTGTTTAATCGAACCTTAAATTTGATTGGAAGTTCCTTTTTATTATTTTCTGAATATAACCGATGATTGTATCATAATTTTATTTTGAGATTCTAATATTGTATGTTATTCTGTTCAATTTAACCTTTTATTTGAGTGCATAACTAGATTATATCCCACGTTAAACGCGGGGAACGCATAAAAACATACAAATGTCTACAGATATTGCATAATAATCATAAAAGAAATTATGGTTATTGGTATTAATAATCATAAAAGAAATTATGGTTATTGGTATTATTGAAATGTATAGAAGATACATTGAAATCGATTAATATCTATAATCATTGAAGGACATCGTTGTATACTTTTGTTTTATTAGTTGAATGAACTTCCTCTGTCACATATGGTTATGATATTGTTATATAAGCATAAATATTCTAATTAGACATTGATTCCATAAGAAGGTTACTTAATTTAAGACTGTATTGATAACCAATATACCGTATTTTTCACTGTATTAAGTATTGACAACTATTTCATTTATTCAAATAAAATCATAGAGTATAATTTATGGAATATTAAATGTTATATGGATTTAATTTTAGTATACCATCAATGAATTTTTTTTTCTAAATCATGATTGGTTTATTTTAAATTGATTATGAATAGAAGTGCTAACTTTTATGTTTGTTCATATTTATTTGGTGTTTCGCAAGAACTTTGCATTAGTTTTGGCGCAACTTTGAATAATTTTAATATATCATCAATGTAATTTGATATATCTTTCAAGTATATGAAATATCAAATAATGACATTTCATTACTATTGCGATAATTTAGTTAATATATTGCATTTTTTACTAATCTTAACAATCTTATTTTTTTTATAATAACCATAACGTTTTTACTAATTGTACTTACAAATCTCCTAATATCTTATAATTTTTATCTTACTTTATATTTTTTTCATAACTATATTATTTTCAAGATTGACAGTCTTAATAGTTATTTTTTTCAGTCTATTCAATTTTATATTTCATTGTACAACATCATCGTTTGTATGTATTTAGAAATTTCATTTTAAAAATGCTTAATGTTTACATCTTGATATTTTTTTTAATAAACTCGTGTAATAATTATGGAATATATATCTTGTTTGAATTAAAATTTACTTTCTTCACTAAATTAAATTTTTCATTAAACGGATATATTTTGCTATGTAATAATTATAATGGGGCAACATTATCTAAGACATAAAGGTTTGATATACTTTTGGAGGGAAAAAATCGGGATCATTAAAAAAATTTATATAAAGAAAATACAAATTTAAATTGGGTGAAATTATGGATGAAATTACTGACAAAAATTATTTTGAAGGGAATTGTATTTTGTAAAGTTTAATACTATGACAAAATTCGAAATATGTATATTATTGTGTAAATCTATAAATTTTATTGTTACTATATAAATATAAAACAAAGTAGGTTGATATGTTAAACAAAAAAAATAATTTCAATGAACCTATGTAACTAAAAAATGGAATTTGAAGATGAAAATTTATAACTTAAAAGTATGAAGACGTGTGATAAAAAAATGTGTGAAAGAGCTCTAACAACATTTGACCAATTTGTTAGTGAGAAGATCATAAATGGACCCTCCGATAATGATCAACGAATTATTTCCTGTATGAAAAAGGGTGAATTCTATAATTAGTGGATTCGAAATGTTTTAAGTAATGCTAAAATAAACATGTATATTGAAGTGTAGATGAACATGTCGTTTTCATGCAAACGACATGTTTTATGGTATCATGTAGAAAAATACTTTAGAAAATAAAATGTTTTAAACATATACACTTAACTTAGATCCTCATCAACCAGGTTCATCAATCGTATCGCCCTTGAATTTTCAATAATCACTTTCATGGGATTAGTTGACACAACCTGACCAAGAAAATCTAGAACAAAAAAATAAATAAATGGTTGTTATATTATAGATGTGTAATACAATAAATATTTACATGTAGATAAGGTAGAATGTAAAATAAAATCTTACCAAATGCAACACGAGTGTCGAGATTCCTGGCTATCAAATCCTGGAAAGTCACAAAATTATAAGGATCCACCATAATAGCAAAATCATTTGATACACGAACTTTGGTTGTTTTGTAGAAATTATTCTTATGTTTATGATCAATCACCATGTAATCTCCTTCATTTCGGGTCATACCAAAACTACTAATTTTCCTTGCATATCCTTCAACAAAGAGGGCTTCAAACGAATTAATGAGATTTTTTATTGTTGCTTGTATTTTAGTGACATGTAAGTGAAAAAAAATTGGTTAAGTTTAAAATGTTATAAATTAAAAGCAACATAATAATAAAAAGAAAAAATTGTACCTCCTCGTCAATTAAAATCATGTCCAAGCTGCTGAACATGTTTGGGTTGTTTTTTAAGTTTGCTTCCAAAGCAAGAGTACTTGAACACGAATGTTTCAGGTTTCCTTGCATGCATCGCTGCCAGCAACCTTATCATAGACGATCTCATCGCGATTGTTTTGTGTCATGGGTGTAAAATGAAAGAGAAAACAATTAGAATTAAAAAGTACTTTAATATGATATAAAAGGTATGTATATAATGTATTTATCTATAAAGAGATATGATTTATAAAGAGGTATGAAAGTTATTATAGTTGTCAACAAAATTGTTTCCATACTTAATTTCAAAGGATGCATAAATAGATTATATATTATTTCCTATTAAACAACCTAAAAGTGTAATAGGATCATACCAAAATATTATAAAATCATACCAAAATTAATCGGATTCTTATGACATAATAATTACAAAAAAAAATCATAATCATCTCTAATATATAAAAATAACATTTTCCTAATTAGTGTCAGTTCCAAAGATAGTTAATTTCTGTTTTGTTAAAGGTACGTAATATCTTTTCCTGTTTATTTGAAAAGTTTTAGAAAAGTAGTTAACCGATTTCATGTAATTTGTGACAAAAAAATCGAAATATATGAATACATATATTTGTTGTAGGAACAAAAAAATAATAAAAAAAATATATAAAAAGCGAAAAAAGGTACTGACCTTCTACTACACAACAACGAAGGTTTGAAGCAGAGAATGATGATCGAAGTTATAAACAATAAGAATGATGTTGCAGAAGAATGTTTGAAGAAAAGCAACGATTGAAAATAAGTGTGAACTGCAAATTCAATGATGAATCGTATATGTATGTGATAATTTGAATATGATTTTGTGGTATCAATGGTTTCCTGATAAAAATAGATTTTATATTAATGGTTTACTAATATAAACAAATTTATATTAATGGTTGATATTAATGCCTTAATTGAAATGGTTTGTTACTAATATGTTTTTAAAGTGACCATATTAAAATCTTTATAACCGGAAATTCAAGATTTAAAATATGGGAAGATTTTATTGGAATTATATACATTCCATTTCAACGGATGTAAGTTAATTTTGTTTGAAAATTGAAAAGTTTTTATTGGAATTAAATACATTCCATTTGGAGAAGATGATGTCATCAATTTGATCTAAGGGTAGAAAACATAGAATTGAAATACAATCAATGGTCCAGATTGTTTAAAGTGATGTCATAAGGTTTCTCTTTTAATAATATTTAGAGATTTTGTTACAGTAATGAATAAAAAATTGGGTGATTATTTCTTAAATATAAAATATATATTCGGATCAAACAATATAAAACGTACACTCCTATCTCTCTCCTAGTTTTGTTTTGAAAAAAAGCATATTCATGAGGGATAAAGGAAAACGGTTATAGCGTGACTATGTGTGAGAGAACAAAGATAATTGCAAATGTTTTTGGCATAGCCATGAGTAGTGACTTTCTGAATCAATTTAGAGGTATAGGTTCAAATCTCATTTAAAAAATAGGTGGTAATTAAGAAAAGATTAGTTTACCGTTTAAAAATAAAACAAATATAATCGCACAAATAACTAAATTAGGATGAATAAGTAAACGATTCTCCTACTTACATAACAAATATGTAAATGCGAATAATTAATTCACAAGAGCAAACCATACAATTCTCATATGCTTGGAATGTTAGATTTCGATATCTAAATAAGGTTTACATAAATTGATTGAACACCCAAAATAGTCGGGAATCCAATGCCAATTTTTCTTGATGAAAATGATATTTTGGAAAACTTCAAAAATCATTTTCACCTGGGTCTTTTATATAAACGGAAATGGAGATTCTTTAATGAGCTTGACGCCTTATGGGTGAAAGTTCTGAAGTTTTTTTATGGTGAAGGGGGAGGTTTTTCTGGGGCTCGAGAATACAAAGTGGTGGTGGTGTTTGGCAAAAAATAGTTGGGTCTATTAACCATCTTCACGAGAGTGGTTTACTACATTCGAATGCCATGGCTAGAGTGACTGGGAATGGAGCTACTATTCGGTTTTGGCACGATGTTTGGTGTTTGGATGTTCCTATGATGGTGCAATTCGGAAGATTGTTTGCGCTTGCTTCTAATCAATACTCTTTAGTTAGTGATTATTGGTCTCCAACGGGTTGAGTTTTTGCTTGGCGTCGTGACATTAGAGGAGGGGTTGAACAGGAGCAGCTTACAACTTTGATGTCATTGTTGGATGGCTATCATCTTGGCATGGAGTTAGACAAATGGGTTTGGAATCTTGATAATTCAGGGTGCTTTTCGGTTAAATCGACTAGGAATTGGATCGATGATTCGAG